ACGCTCCACGGAAGACGGTTCCCGCCCCTCCACAGAGCCAGCAGAGCCACGCGTCCCGGCAGCTGCCTTTCCTGCTCTTCCAGGCGCCGCCTGCTGCCCAGGCTCAGTACCGCGAGCGACTGCTGGGGACCCCCGGAGCTCCCACCGCCAAGCGGGACCAGAGTGCAGCTGGCCCCCTTGCTCGGATCATGGATACATGTCTGAGCACAATGTTTCCTCTTTTTATTTTTCTTTCTTTTTAAGTAATTTGTTTACTTTTATTTGAATGAAGGTTTACAAATCATATTGGTATCTGTACAGTCAATCATTCATAGACATTGTTTTATCATAATTACCATTGAGTAATTAATGTCTAGTCACCGAGGGAAAAGGATGGGCAATCTCCCATGCAATTTAATGCCTCTGAAAACCCGCGGAGGGTCAGCTATGGATCAATTCAGACTGAATGCCACACAACAGAAATATCCAACTCATTAGAGAACTCTGGTAGCTTAGAGGTAAGGAACTGAGCTGCCAACTCAAAAGGTACCTGGTTTGAACCTACCAACTGCACCTCTGGAGAAAGATGGGCAATTTTCTCCCGTGGGATTCACAGCCTCCAAAAACCCTCTGGAGGGTCATCTATGAATTCGTTCTGATAGAGAGGGTGAAACCAGGCTGCTCCTTGGGCAAGGATTCTGAAGCTTCATCTGACATATTTTGGACATGTTGCAAAAAGGGATCAGTCCTTGGAAAGGGACGTCATGCTTGGGAGTGTGGAGTGACTTAGTAGGAGAGAGTGCTAACTCAAAGACAAGCAGTTGGGATTTGTTTGCTAGATAAAAATGGACGTTCTCCTTCTATGTGATTTACTGCCTCTCAAAACCCACTGGTGAGTCAACTATAAGCCTCGTTCTGACTCCATGGTACTTAATAACAGCAAGTCAACCCATTATTGGTGCAATGGTTTTTAACTCACTGCTTAACACAAGTGTGCAAAATGCCTAAAGGGTTAAGCCTTTTTACTAGAGAAAATGTTTGGAGAATTGAAACTCTCAAGGGCCCAGGAAACCTTGGGAGACAAACATTTTCATCTTCCAACTATGAAAATCCTGAAGAGTCATGATCTTTTCAGTAACTTGCTGTGTGATTAACTGCCTCTGACAGCCCACTGGAGGGTCCATCTATGGGTCACTTCTGACTCTACAGCACACCACGACATGCATGTGAAAGTTGGACAATGAATTAGGATGGCAGAGAATCAATGCCTTTGAGTCATGGTGTCAGAGAAGAGTACTGAATCCTATGGGCTGCCAAAAGAACAAACAATTTATGTCTTGGAGAAAGTGCAACCAGAGTGCTTTTTGGAACAAAGATAGTTTCACATACTTGGGGCATGTTGTGAGGAAGGGCCAGTTTGAAAAAAGACATCAGGTGTGCAAGGGTAGAGGAAGGTCCTCTGACAGCTAGCTGACTTGACAAAGAGCTCGATTATGTCAAAGATGGTGTTAACAGAAAAAGATAAGGCAAGTTTTACACAAGGTTAGTAAAAATCAACTTGAACACCACCTACAAGGATAATAAATGAGGTGATTGTTGTTGTTATGTCAAGTTGCCTGCGACTCGTAAAGACCCTGTGTACAAGAGCCTTGTACCTTGCTCTATCCTGTGCTAATCTCACTATCTCCGACACACCTACCCCATTACCCCAGCCACCGAATCAATGCATCTCATAGAGGGTCTTCCTCTCCTGCCCTGTCCCTCCACCCTCACAAACATGATGTCCCTCTCCAAGGACTGGTCAGTCCCTCCTTGCAACATGTCCAAAGTATGTCAGACGAAGCTTCAGAAGCCTTGCCTCCAAGGAGCAGTCCAGTTTCACCCTCTCCAAGACAAACCTGTTTGTCCATGGTATGTATATTCAACACTCTTTTTTTTTTTTTTGGTGGTAGAATTTTAACTTTATTTGGCCAATGTGTCAATTCCAGGATTGGGTACATGTCTACCACAAATTATGCAGTCGAGTTTCCCACATTTGGGGAAATCGCAGGGGTCAGCACATCCGGAGTGCAATGGATAAGCCTCGCCCTGGGAAAACCACCTTCGTGATCATGGTATCTCCCCTGCCAGGTAAGTATATATTCAACACTCTTCTCCAGCACCATCGCTTGAAGGCATTGAATCTCTTTCTATCGTCCCTAGTTACTGTCCAGCTGTCCAATGCATAGCACACAAATGCAAAGACTATAGCCCGGATCAGGCGCACCTTAGTCTCCAGCCTGATGTTGTTGCTCTTCAGTACTCTGCAGAGGTCCCTGACAGCTGACTTTCCAATGCAATTCATCTCTTGGCTGCTGGTACCAAGAGTGTTGAATGTTGAGCCAAAAAAACTAAAATTGTTAACTACCTTAATCTCTTCACCATCCATGCTAATGCTGCCAATTGTCCTAGTGGTGAGAATGTTTTCTTGATGTTGAGCTTCAATCCATATTAAAGGCTGCAGTCCTTGACCTTCTGCAGCAAGTGCTTCAAGTCCTCCTCAGTTTCAGCAAGCAGGATTGTGTCATCTGCATAACACAAGTTGTTGATGAATCTTCCACCAACCTGACGCCACATTCCTCCTTATATAATCCAGCATCTTGGATGATCTGTTCTGCATACATATTGAAAAGGTGTAGAGAAAGAATACATCCCTGGTGGACACCCTTCCCAATTTTGAACCATACAATGTCTCCTTGCTCTGTTCTAATGACTTTCTCTTGGTCCAAGTATAGGTTTTTCATAAGCACAATCAAATGTTCTGGGATTCCCATTCTTGTCAGAGTCAGCCGATTTGTTATGATCCACGCAGTGAAAAGCCTTTGCATAGTCAATGAAGCACAGATAGACATTCTTCTGGTATTCTGCCAAGATCCATCTTACCTTAGCTATAATATCCCTAGTACCACCCAGCCTGCACATCTGGCAGTTCTCTGTTGATGTGTTGCTCCAGACGTTTTTGGATAATTTTCAGTAGAATCTTGCTTGCATGTGACATTAATGTTATTGTTCTATAATTTCTGAACTCTGTCGGATCACCTTTCTTTGAAATGGGAACAAATATCGATCTCAGTCAGTTGGTCAGGTGGCTGTCCTCCAGATTTATTTTTTTCTTTCTTTTTTTTTTTTTTGATGGGCACGTGAGATTTTTTATTTCCATTCATTCATTGTTGCACTTTTCTCCCAACACAGCCTTCCTCCTCTCTTTGAAAAAGTAAGAAAAATTCTTTCTTTGGTATACAGTCCACCCGTATCCCTCACACCGCCCACCACTATGCACTCTTATATCTGGACTCTTGTGATAACCATAATACCCTATCATATATTGCTTTTAATTTATTCTCTCCCTCATCTGTTTAAATGCAGTATACATAATTTATCCAGTTTTTCTTGACACAAACAAGCACATCCCAGGGGAGCATCCGTTTGTTGAAATATGTCAATTGGTATGCTGTCAACTCCTGGAGTTAATAAAAATAAAGTCAAATACCGTTTACGAAAGAATAATAAAAGAGGTAAAACGTATAATCTTGAAACTAAAACAAACAGCCCAAATATCCATCCACAATTAAAGAGATTCACTGTTAATTTTTAAAACCACTACCTAACTTGAAGAACTAGAGAGCATCATGGTAAATAGACTGTCACGTAAAGATAAACATTACATAAAACCATTCGTAGAAATAACTAATTACTAAAGTGCATGACAATTATCAGTTAAAATTTCATTGTTATGCGCTATCGAATCGCTTGCGACTCACAGCGACCCTAAAACTTCATACAAATACAAGAAAAATTAAAAAAAGCCAGTAACTACTACACACATATATAGAAAACACCTAACTTAGAACTATAGTTAAAAAAGTGAGAAAGTGAATAAGTATCCTTTCCCAGTCCATGTCAGATGGGTAGTGTGCCTCCGTCGTAACAAGGTTAGTAGGTGGCACATGTCATACAGACGTATGAACTCCCGATCATCATGCGTATGAACCGGAAAAGGATCGAAGAGTTGGTGCCGTCGAGCAAGACCCAAGTATGTGCTACTGTCCTTAAGGAAAGGGTGGCAAAGGTAGTTCCGATATTTTCAATATTGGTATATAAAATCCTATACAATTCAATAATATACATAGATATACTAAAATTTAAACTTTTTTTATCTTTTTATAAACTAGATAGAAGTAAAATTAGCGATCTATGCAAATAAGTTCTCCATAGCTCCGCCTTTCCGCCCTTTTTTCTGAACTGCGATCTCTATTGCTTTAAGACCGCAAAGGCGTGAGCCGAAAAAAACATTGCGACAGTATTGGCGGAAGTCAACTTTGTGAGCCGAAAAAACATTGCGGCAGTATTGGCGGAAGTCAGTTTTGTGCTTTGTGGCAACGATGTAGCCAGCTTCGGATATTTGGGGAATGTTGTAAGGTTAATTTTTTGTATTTCTAGTTTATTTTTAAAACTCTTCGGTTTTTGTTTTTTTTTTGCTGATTTTACTTTGAATTTCCAGTAATTCTAGATTGGTTTACAGTCCTAACTTCTCAGTCGAAAGTCTGAAATTTACTAGTAAGCCCCTCCCCCTTCTTTTGCCTCATCCGTTTCCAAACCCACTGTTAAGAAGTTGATTCCGGTTCACCGAGACCCTACAGACAGTAGAACTGCCCAATAGGATTCCCTTGGTTGTAATCTGTAAGGAAGCTGATTGTCACATAACTTCCTCTGCTGAATTAGTTTTAGCTGCGGACCTTTTCAGATTGCTGGCTTGGCATCCTTGAGTTTTGTGCCACTCGGTGGCCTCTTCCTCGCTTTATGTAAATTTTATTGTGACCGGGCTCTCCTTTCTCATCCAGGCCGTCTCAGAGTTTAATTTTGACTTTGGGCTTCTTTGGGAGAATTCAAATGCCAGGTTATCCCGCCTTCCTTCATAAGTGATTTCTCTAAACCCCTACCTACATCTTATAGGGGAGACCAACTCCTACCTCTCCCCAAGAATGGAACTTGAGTATGTTCGGGAAAATAGGTCTCCCGAGGAGTCCTCGTTCTCGCCGGGAGGTCTGTCTTCCGATTCATTGACGCAGGCTCTCTCACAGATACTGCATCGTCTTAACCACCAGGAGGGCCGATGGGGTAATAGTAGAGATGCAGTTGTTCAGGACCTTAGTGCCTTAATAGAAGTTACAGAATGTGACAAATTGTTTGAGGGGAGTGGCACACCAATGCGCAGAAGGACTGAGATGCTGGGAGATGTGGCAAAAGCTCTCGGAAAATACGCAGCCCCTGCCAAGGAAGAGGAAGGTAGAACTGATGGTCATTCTGGGGTGTCTGTAAAAGCTATAGAAGTTGGACTGTTCTTTCTCAAGCTACTTGGGAAAGTTGAAACTGCCAAAAATTTTCAGGTGGGCCCTGCATGGAAGACAGGGCTGCATCAGTTGGCAGGACCTGTCTATATTTTTGCCATCACACACAGCTTGGAGCAACCATGGACCAGTCCAAGATCTCAGGACATTGCTAGAGAAGTGCTCTCCTTACTGCTTCAAGTTTCCAGCTGTGGTTCTATAGCAGGATTCCTCTATGGAGAAAATGAAGATGACAAAGGAAGATTTACTCTGATAATGGGACTTCTCAAATGTGATTTAAATAAGTAAGTACTTTTGCCATAAGACTTTGAGCTTCCACTTAGTGGTTTTAAATGTTGGAGGTCAAAGAAACCTCGTTTAGTTTTCTTCATCAGTAGCATAAATACTCGCCATTGAGTGAATTTAGACTCATGGTATCACAGTAGAACTGTGATGGTTGTCAGTGACTGATTTTTTCCAAGTAGATGGCCAGGCCTTTCTAAAGTTTCTGAGTGGACTCTTTACCTCCACATTTTAGTTAGTAGCTGCACACATCAACTCTGCACTTCTCAGTCATCCTGTGAGGGAAATAAGGTCCTAAATTAAGACCCATAAAGGTCTATTGTAGATGACAAAACTAAATAGTGACAAAGTAGAGATAAAACCCAGATCTTCCAGGTGTCCCATTTTTCATGACTCTATCTAGAACTGGTCGAAATAATTTTGGATAAATTGGAAATTCTGATCCACTTGGATTAAAGATTATGTTTGGTAGAGATGAGCGTTTAGAGGAGATTCTTTAAATTCTTGGAGCCATATTTTTGTGTTTTTTATTTGTTTCAATTTTATGTTGATTTGCATATAAACGTATACATTGCTTTTGGTTTATGTACAATTTCTATTTATTAGAAAATGTTGTTCTTATTAAGTGCCGTTGAGTTGAGTATACAACTCATAGCAACCCCATGACAGTAGATCTGAACTCTGTCCTATCCTGTGCCGTTTTTATCATCCTCAATATGTTTGATTCCTTTGCCACAGACACTGTATCAGTCTTTCTCATTGAGAGTCTTCCTCTCTGCTGATCCTCGGCCTTTCTAGGCATGATGTCCTTTTTCAAGAAGTAGCTTCTCCTAACAACATATTCAGAATATGTGAGAGGACGCGTAACCAACTTTGTCTCCAAGAAACATTCTGGTTGCATTATTTATTAGATAGGGATAATTATTAGATAGGAATGCAATGTTTGGAATTAAAAAATAAAAATCACCTCATGATTATTACTGCTGAAGTATTTTCCATTTGCTTATTTGTAGTACTGGCATGAGGAGGGAAAGAAAAGTATGTGTGATTATCGTGTTACTAAAAACTTAGGGTTTAAAAGCTTGGCTTCGAGTGGTTTGGTTTGGTTTTTGTGTATGGGACAAGGTCAGCCAGCCTCTCTGAATCTCAGTTTAATTATATGTAATATAAAGATAATACATGGTTGGGGAACTGTGGTGGTCTCATGGGTAGGGAGTTGTGCAGTCAACTCACAGACCAATGGTTTGAATCCACAAGCTGGAAATCAGGAGAAACATGAGCAGTCTCTTCCCATGTGATTTGTTGTTGTTATGTGCCATCGAGTCGCCTGCGACTCATAGCGACCCTATGTACAACGGCCCTAAACTCTGCTCTGTCCTTTGCCATTCGCACTGTCTCTGACACTCCCATCCCAATTATCCCAGTCACTGAATCAATCCACCTCATAGAGGGCCTTCCTCTCCTGCTCTGTCCCTCCACCCTCCCAAGCATGATGTTCTTCTCCAAGGACCAGTTTCTCCTCACAACATGTCCAAAGTATGTTAGACGGAGCTTCAGAATCCTTGCCTCCAAGGAGCCACCCGGTTTAACCCTTTCCAGGACAAATCTGCTTGTTTTCCTAGCAGTCCATGGTATTCTCAATACTCTTCTCCAGCACCACAGCTCAAAGGCATCAATTCTCCTTCTATCCTCCTTGGTCATTGTCCAACTCTGATGCATAACAAGTGATTTGTGAAGACCATGGCCTGTATCAAATGCACCTGAGTCTCCCGAGATTTACAGCCTCTGAAAATCCACTGCCAGTTGTTTCCAACTCATTGGTTTGTCACAGCAACAGTATTACATGGTTAATTTAGAAGTTAAAGTCTCTTTCATTGTTTTTGTTCAGACATTCCTCTAGGTCATATAGCCCTAGTGTACAAGTTGTCATACAGTGGTAACTTTTTGTTGCCGTGAGGCTGAACACTGTGACACTGATGTGTCAAATGCATTAATGGTTGGTTACCCAATGCAGACAGAGAGTGGGGTGGAGCTCCCCGATTTAAACAAGCTTGGAAGGAGGAGTGGCATCCACTTCTGTAATAGCTTGCCTCCGGAAACCCTATGAACCTAGAGAGAGGATGACAGACACCCAAGCGTCGAGGACTCTCCTTCATAGGGTCGCTATGAGTCGCCTGCAACTCGATGGCACTTAACAACAACCATGTTGTACATAACTTTTTAAGCTATAAATTATTGTTAAAATACTAATTTTATTTTCTCATTCTAATATTATTCCTCTCTCCCATCTCAGTAACTGTTGTGTATATCACTGCCGTCAACATCACTACAGGTCATTTACATAGCTATAAAGGACCACTTCTCATTTGGTAAGCTTTAGACCTAGAGCCCTGCATGGTTGCTAATTGTGGTAAGTTTGTGTAAGCAATTTATATTACTCTGCAGGGAAGACCCGCAACCAGATGGTTGTACACGGTGACTGCAGCAGTGAGCTCAAGTATGTCAGAGATGATGAGGATGGCACAGGATAAGACAGGGTTCAGATCTGTTGTTCATAGGGTCTCTCTGAGTTGTACTCAACTCGATGGCACCTAACAATAAGTTCAGTAATTTTTATCAAGATCTTCAAACCCAAGAGTTTTCTTTTGTGAGGTATGTATTTTCAAGAGGGCAACTCTGGTAGCCTAGTGGATAGGGAGTTGCGCTGCCAGCTCAAAGACCAGTGGTTTAAATCCACAGCTGCTCCTCAAGAGAAAAATGAGCTGTCTCTTTCTGTGCGATTTACATCCTTTGAAAATCCACCGGAGGGTCAGCTATGATTCAGTTCCAACTCAACAGTATATAAAAATGACAACACCACATTTTCAAGATTAAGGAAATACTCTGTTCATCTTGAAGAGCTTCATTTCCTTTTCCAATTAACGGTACATCACTAAATGTTTTTCCATTTAGGGAAACATGGAAAGATAACCCTGCCACCAAACATGTTTTCTCATGGACTCTGCAGCAGATCACTCGACCCTGGCTGAACCCACATCTGGAAAGGGTACTTCCTCCGTCATTGCTCATCTCAGATGACTATCAACCAGAGAACAAACTCCTGGGCATTGGCTGCCTCCATCACATTGTGCTTAATGTGGTAAGAACCCTCTGCTCTGCTTCTTGAGTGTTGATGAGGCAAGACAGAGCAGTCATGGCTGTGCCTCATCCACTGAAGTGCTATTTTTGTATTCCACATTTAAATATTGTACTTACTTATTATATAACTGACCTTTTTTTATCTTGTTGGGAATATAGGCTTCAAAACATAAAACAATTCATCAGTTTCTGCACATATAATTCAGTAACAGTGATTACATTCCTGGACTTGGTTAACCATTCTCTGCTTTTCTGAGTTGTTCCTTCTCTGTGAACATAAACTCTGCTCCCTAAGGTTTCTTTCTGGTCTTTTGTGTTGCTACTGGAAATTTTATCCCATATAGATAGTTAGTAAAAGAAAACAGTGTTCAAAATCACAGTCATTCTTTACTAGGAAAGTTACTGTTTTCCTAAGGAGACATTCAGAAATAATTTGGAGTGAGATTTTTTGGGGCTTTTTTTCTCCCAGCTCTTCACATAGTATAATCATTAGTGTCCTGGTGATAAGGAGATGCACTGCCAACCAAAGGCACACAGTTCAAACCTACCAGCTGCTCTGTGGGAGAATGATGGGCAGTCTTCTCCCACACAGTTAACTGCCTCTGAAAACCCCCTGAAGGGTCGGCTGTGGGTTGATTTTGTCTCACTAATGGTACATAACCACCACCACCAGGGTGCTATTACAAATTTTGGTTTAAGGTTTAAAAATTATTTCAGGTTAATAGTTTTAGGGTTGCATCTAATCTCTGTGGTCCCCAGAAGTTGGGAATCCAGGAGAATATGAGATTCTGTTTTACATTTCCCCAAATGTGCTCAAGATTCTATCTACAGAATGTTTGGCCAAAATGTTCAGCATTGGTACCGGCACCTTCCATTTCTTCTGTTCTTAAGGCGAAGGAGGGAGTTGTTCATGGAATCACTTAGCCACACGTTCTTTTTTTTTTTCTATAATTATATTTTATTAATTTTCATAAACA